ATTGATGGATTGCCGTGCGTGCACGCTCACGCCGCTTCCCATTATGTGGGAAGAGTCCCTGATGGTATGGTCCCGGAAAAATTTTCCCTGCAAAATTATATTAAATGCTACGAAGGAACCATAATGCCTCTGTTGTCTGAAGAGTATTGGCCATTGGTACCTTACAAGGTCTTGCCACCGCAAGCTGTTTCCCAAAGACATGATAGGCGCCCCAGTAGAAGAATTCCTAATGAAATGGATCTGGCCGGAAGAAGATGTGGCATTTGCCGATCAGCCAACCATGATGTTAGACGATGTGTGCACGTTCAAAGCGATTGTCGTGAATAGAACGATCACGCTCTATGAAACTGATTTCATTTGAGTTGTAATTATGTCCTTCCACCATTTTTTTTTTATTTACTGTACTGTTTCGTTTGTAATGTTTTTCGCCAATATTATATTCCGCATGTTGGGCTTTGTTTACTTTATCGGTATTAAAAATTTTATTTCTGTAGTTTACATATTTGTTATATTATTTAATTAATATATTCCAAAGTTTGACACCCCAAAGGGGGATGTCACGATCGACTCCCAACCAAGTGTGACAGCCGATTTGACTGTCACAATAAAGGTGACATGTGACAGAAAGTACCGGCCGTCACATCATAGAATATAATATATATATATATATATATATATATATATATATATATATATATATATATATATATATATATAATTTTATTTTATTTTCATTTTTCGACCTTTCGTTATCGTATTTTTGATGAGTATATGTGAAGACTGGGTAATGAGAAAATACGCATACTATATAATAAAGATTTATGCTCCGAAAAGTTACAATACAATTACGTTCCACAGGGGGTCGCCTAGTATTGCGAGATGGCCTCCGGCGTTGATAGTGTACGAGTGTTGGTTCGTTGTCTTGCGAAGGATTAACCACTTGAGATTGATCCAACAGTTCGTCAGCGGCAAACAACTCCTGTATAGAAGGGTGGTCAAATGGCGCGTTAGACAGCGCATGAGAAGAGCTGGGCATTTCACGTCCACCGTGTTCAGGTATTTCATGGGAAGATTCTCCGGCCTCAAAATAAGGCAATGACATATATGGAGTAATCATCATGTTGGGGGAATGTGGTATGGGAAATTGTTGTACTTGAAGTTGTGTGGTATCGCCCATATATTGCGTTCCAAATACATCTTCTTCCTGTCCGGCAGGTTGCTGTTCTTCCTGATGCCCGCCGCTGACATCATCGCCGTTGAAGTTCATAGGTGGAACTTCCTGACGACGATGACCCCCCTGAGCTCGGCGACCGCGCCTGTTCACATCCCTTCGTCTGTCAAGGTGTCGAACTTGCTGAAAAGACTGGTAATATATTTCCTCGTAATTCTCAAGCCGAGGGAAATCCATGAGGTAGCTAAAGTTTAGCCGATTTAGTTTTGCGCGGGCTATTTGTTGCACTTCATTCATATATTCCCCGATCTCTCCGTGCTCCGCCGCAATTTCACCAACAATGCTGATGTGGCGCAAAGCTTCCACCTACGCATAATTTAATTCTTTGGTAAGGAAGTGAAACACATAAACCCAGCAAAAAAAAAAAAAATTAGTGTGGAGAAGTTGAGTGGAACCGTCGCCGCATATGACGGTGATGTCTGCATGTATCCTTCCGTATGTTGATGTTCAGGATTTCCAATCACACGCCTTCCAACCCTGTAGAACCAATGTTCGTAGGCCAAATTACAATATGGACCTAACGGGGCATGTGGGGCAATGGCAACCAAGTTATTGTAACGATTCTCCCAGACTGCAACATGTAATTGGTGGTGAGTTGCCCAATCATTAATCTTGGAGCGACCATCAAATTTGTGCAAATGTGGATCGTACTGAACATGGTCCGGGATGTCTTGGTATCCCCCAAACTGTCTTATGACCCTATCTGGATAATGCCACTCGACGGCGTAAAAAAATAATAAAGGAACACGTGCCGTCCAAATTAGCTGTCCCTCCCGAGAACAAAGTGGCAACGTGTCAACATTGTATGGCATCCAAACAAACTACATGGAAAAAAAATGAATTACATATTACGTAGAGTCAAACATGTATTATATATATATATATATATATATATATATATATATATATGTATACGCGTTCACCTAGACAAGAATATATATTTGATGTGCATACGTTATCAGATTGACATCGATCAAATAAATCCCGGTATGTCCTGTAGGTGTGGGTTGATGTAAATGTCCACGTGTGTCGACAATGCCACCTAAACACGAAAATTGTGGTTACTTTATATTTTACGTATTTAGTAATGCGCAAAAATGCATACCGTGCACCATAAGGTCCATCATTGATGTTGATGGATGGAATAACGTTACAAGGGCGTGTACATGGCAAACGCTCCCATGCCCACAACTGCAACAGGGTTAGGCAACTCCCAGCGATAGAATGCTCAAAATTAGCTGCACGGCAAAGTGATCTGTAAAGGTATGCGAGCACTGCGGATCCCCAACTATATTGACCGGCAGTAGAAAGGTCTTTTAACATATCTAGTAAATATAATTTTATTTTATTCCTGGTGGTTTCAGGAAATAAGAACCCACCCATAAATAACATAATAATGCCACGCACATATTGTTGTAACGCTTCAGCATTTGCCTCATCAATGTTTATGGCAGCCACGTGCGCTTCTAGTACGACCTTATTTAATAGGCTGCCAGAGAAAGCATCCTTGCTGAGAGGAGTAAAACCTAAGAACTGTTGGATTTGGAAAAAAACGTTCAGGTTGAGTTCTTTCAGTATTACCAACTACTGATCGTCCATCAATTTTTAGTCCTAATAGGACTTCCACATCTTGTAGGGTAATTGAGACCTCTCCAAACGGCATATGGAACGCATGTACCTTAGGCCTCCACCTCTCGATTAATGCACTGATAAGGTGGTGGTCGAGTTTCATGTTACCAAACCGTGTCATTATCCGGAAAAAACCAGATTCCCGTAACAAATTCTCCACACGTTCATTCAGACTCATGTTTTGAAACGCAGCACCCGCATAACGCACACATGACAACTGCGCTGTGTAATCAGGATTTACCCATCCGACTCGGATCGATGCAATTGTTGGTATGTTAACAAGGTGGGATCAATTGGACCGGGATGTAGATAATTTCGCCTCATTTTTATGAGTTGTGTTTCAAATTCCGAATTTAGAGATTTATGTGTGCAGAAGAAGAGAGTTGGGGTTAAATTTTACCACATTTACATCCGGACACTATTTATATATGCAACATTTTTTTTAGTGAAATGGTAACTGACGTGACCATTTAAAAGGTCACGTCAGTCAAGTGTCTCATAATGGCATGCGTACAGACGCATGCCATTATGAGACACAGCACCGACTGCCGTGTTGACTGGCGCGCTGCGTCAGTCAACACGGCAGTCTATGCCATTGACTGACGCAGCGACTGACACGCTGCGTCAGTCGAAGTGACCAGCCGCTCACTAAAGCGTTGGTCACGTCGCATTGAATATCATGACTGCAAACCAGTCACGCTATTCAATTGTTTTTAAAAACAACAACACCATTGGAATATTTGTGATTTAAAATATAAAACAATACTTATGAATTAAAAAAATTTAACGGACGAAATTACAATAAACCACCTCAAAGAAAGAACACATTTAACAACATAAAAGATAGTTTATTATTCGAGTATAAACTGTTTTTACAATTAGTTAGGTAGGTACAGTATATGAAAGATATTCACGTACGATTGTGGCCAAAATACATTTTCAGGACTATCTTAATCATCGATGACCAACTGCAACTCCATGGGCTTCAGTGACAGCGGTCATATGATATATATTTTTTAGCAAACAACAAGAAAGCAATTGACTCCCTTGTTATTTGCGAATAAGTTTCAATTCTCACGACATATTTAATACACAAAAAAATATGTCGCGAGAATTAAATGGGACCCATTCTTCATTCGCGAGACTTAAATGAGACTCAATTCACGTACTTTGTACCTACAAACAAAACCAAACACATGAGAACCAATAAATACTTTCATATATTTATGCACATACATACTTATAAATTTTGTGTACTAACCATGTATGACATTTGTTTTGCGATGAAGGGGTTGAAATATGAATAACCTGATGTGATTGCGTGCAATGTGATGGGAATTTCGAAAATTTGCCATCTCGCAGTGAAAACTATATGTTGCTGCTATGCGACTGATGTAGGGTTTTGTCCCACTTATTTATAGGGGTGTCATGCAAAACGCATGTGGAAGTTGCATTATACTTTGCTTCACTAACTTTTTACGACTACAGCTAAAACGCAACTCATAATTGCGTTTTTGTACCAGAACGTGGGTGGTTGAGCAATGTCGCAAGGCACAAATGAGAACAAACGACTACAAATTCACATTTTATTTGGTTTTAGGTATTTTATTTAAATTAACTTCGCTTCATTCTTGCTACTGTCCGTAGGATTTGTACACATGAGTAAGTAAAATGCCAAATACTAATTTCATTCACATACTACATCACATTACAGACAACTTCTATACAACTTCTTCATTGTTTGGGTTCAGTTGTGACTATCAAGAAATTAAAAACTGTACATAAAACATGGCATGCCCACCACAAAACGGTACATTCAGTGGTTACTACAATGGTAAAACATCTACTAGCATTACAAAGTACGTCGTACAATATAACATAATGGGAAAAATTCTACAAATATATGAAATGGGTTCAGTTGTGACTACAATTGACACCCATTCCTAAATTTTTTAAAAATGAATACTGGCTAGGATAATTGGTGCAAAAGAAGACCAACAAAACACAACCAGCATCATTTACATAAAAATTTATTTATATAAATTTCGCGACAATTTTACAATTTAACAATAAAATATGTCGCTAAATTTAGTTGAAATTCATCAACAAATCGCGAGAATTAATTGAGGCCCAGTGAAACGCTATTCCTCCATGGAATTATGGCTACAAAAGAAAACAAAAAAAAAAATTTGTACATTAGAGAACAAATATACACAATATAAGTATATTTATACATATATATAGATGTCTGTGTGTGTGTGTGTATATATATATATATATATATATATATATATATATATATATATATATATATATATATATATATATATATACATACATACATAAACTAAATTCTTACCGTAATTGTTTTCCTTTTTCCTTCAACAAAGTGGATACAACACATAACACTAACTTTAGCATGCTTACGTATTCTATATTGTGGGTGTGTTGCGTACTCTACGTACAGTACACTTCAGGGGTGATATAAATTTGTGAACAACGCAATTGGTAAGCACATTTATAGGAAAATGGTGAAAATGCATGGTGGACTTGCGTTTTCAAGGAAAACGCAAGTCACACATGCGTTTTCAGTGACACTTGATCTGGTAACCAAACCAGGTGATCACGCCATGATTAACCAAACTATACAGCGCAATATGGGTTCGCATTATATATTTGGTCTAACACGAGGCCACCATTATACTGCTTAGTTTATCGTCCTCTACTACACATTCTAGCTCGCCTTCATTATTCTCTCTTAATAACAAATGGATCTTTTTGATGATTTTGAAATACTTCCTGGAGGTACTTCCAACTTTGGTCATCGTCTGCTGTACCATGCAATAACCATTCATGGAAGGAAGCTACTGTATGCGCATGTTGATCGCAGGACATGCAATACTTTTGTATGTTATCCAACTCGTGGTTGGGGACGATATCTATTGATGTTGGGTATATCAGTACCCGAATCACGGATCTTTGCAAATAAAGATCAAGCAGAACGATATGCGCTAGTCATATTTAAAAGTCTACGACAAATCTACTACCCTCCACGTAAGCTTTACCCGATTACCCGATGTTGGTAATTAAGAAACCCCCTATTTCCCTACAATTATCTTAATATGCATGTATTTGATTTTGTTAATAGCTTGCAACGATATAATGCATATGCCTGATGTGAGTGACTATGCTACAACTTGGTTTACCATCCAAGTCTCATTTGAACTACCCATGTTAATATGTTACCAATATAGTTTTACCGTATATCGACGTGGTATGACTACTATCTTTCTAACATGTTCCATATGATTGTACATTAGAGAATTCCAAATTCTATGCATCGACATCTAATTCAACATCTTACGACAAAAGCAATACTATGGCATCATAGCGCATGGATTGAAGTTTGGGTAGAAGATATGCAATTTACAACGGGAATTAGCGAATTTAAGATAGAAAATGATTTATACCCTGGAGACATTGTCTTATTTCGACATACAGATTACTTCATTTTCGAATGCTACTTGTTTAGCGTCGACTCATACAGTCCAACGAGAGAATTTAATCAATTTGGCCGCAGAAGAAATACTCGACGGTTCGATACTGGTAACTTTACAATTTTATCCCTAAACGTCTATGGAATATTTGAATTTTACATACTAAAACTTACGTTCGAATTATAGTGTCCATCAATGTGCCAGCACGGTTAGCAATACCGCCAACATATGACTTTGATCAATTAGAGCGTTGTAGATCTTTATATCACAATTTCGGTACGCTTTTCGCGGTAAGACTCACTTACGCAGTCTAAACCCTAACTTAGATTCCTTATCCAGTACTAACAATTCTATTCTTTCTTCAATATAGCGTGAGCAGTTGAGTGAATTTCTCCAAGACTCCATCGAAGTCGATGGGCCCCTCATATTCGTCCTTGGAGATAGAAAACTAGAACTCTACTACGACTACACTTTAGTATTCCATGACGAACAGTGGGAGCAAATATATGATCATTTTCAGTTAGATGGGTGTGACCGTGTTGTGTTCTTCAATGTCAACCAACATATTATACTCTTGCTACCAATTGCTATCGCCTGCAACGTAGAGAAGATTTATCCATGGTCAATCACTACCATATTATCGAGAATGAATATGGCGAAATTCATTAGTTATCGACGTCAATGTAATGATTTTCATTAATAAAACAATCTGCTTAGATGCACAACGTTATGATACCTGTTCTATACTTCCTGTAATCACTGTCTGTTTTCTCATCTAACATTAACCCTCGAAATCACTACCACTCTTAAATAATATTATTACTTTACATTATTTATATTGCACTGTTAAAATTAATAAATCAGACAAATCGAGCCTGTTTGTGAAGAAACTTACTTAAGAGAAACGCAACTGGGCCTTGCGTTCTCAAGCCTTGTTTTGACTAAAACGCAACTCTTACATGTGTTTTCAACAGTACATGCCTGACAGATTTAACTGGCTGCTGATTTAACTGGCTGGGGCCTGGGCTATGGGCTGTCAAGAAATAATGGACTTAAGAAAACGCAAGTCTTACTTGCGTTTTCAACAGTCCATGGCTGACAGATTTAACTGGCTGCTGATTTAACTGGCTGGGCCTAGGCTATGGGCTGTCAAGAAATGATGGACTTAAGAAAACGCAAGTCTTAATTGCGTTTTCCACTGTAGATGGCTAACAAATTAAACTGGCTGGGCCTAGGTTAGGCTATGGCTGTCAAGCTATGGACTGTCAAGAAATGATGGACAAAACAAAAACGCAACTGGGACTTGCATATTATGGCAAAACGCAATACCCAGTTGCGTTTTCTGATGCCGGATGGGACGGGCCTGGCCTGCTGGGCTTACTGATGGGATGGGACGGAAAACTGACTTATGAAAAAAATGCAACATGGGCCTGCGTTCTACGACAAAACGCATGAGCCACATGCGTTTTAACGTTGTTTTCAAAAAATAAATTAAAGCCATAACTTCTCTATATATATATAGCTGCTACATTTCGCGGATTCACAATCAAACCCAAAATTTTTTTCCTACATACCAATACTTCTGTTCTCTATTCTATATGAGATGGGAAGTTTGTTTTCTTTATACCAACTATCTCATGCTCAATATTACATCCCAACATTTTATCATATTAACTCCAATGCCAAAAGAATTCCAACTAAATTTCGCGACTTGGGTTTCCGTTTAAGGGGTTTGCCCATATTTGCCGCCGTAGAGCTCTACCCAAAGGAAGATTAATGTCTTCCGTTACAGACTCTGTATTTCCTTGAAGAGCCATCTACGATCCGGCATGGCCAGATAGCAATGACGGTTGATCATGTACTACCTAAAGAGGAAGTACACCAGAGCAACTTAGACTTGCGTCTGGCCAATTAGACCAATTGGGTCAAGCCCTCCAAAACACAAAAGAGGCCAACATCCCGAGCTGTGTTTACGACTCCTTGCTTTTGCAGTAGAGAAATTCGAATTCACTCACTGTACTTTTAAATGTTTGGATATACGATGAATATCAATTGTATTTTTTTTTTCGGTTACACCGCAAGCCTTTTGACATAATTCCGTAATTATATTTTTTGTCGTCATAATCAATATCCTTCCACTCGCATACGGCTAAGAAGATACGTCAACATTCCAAATCTTTAAAAACTACATTCCACTAATAATCAACCGTTAAACTATTTGGCTAAATGAATTTTGATAAAATATTAATTGTCACATAGCTGGCTACACTCAAATTAGATTCAAAGTACTACGTCCTTACAATTTATGGAAATTAGATTTCACACTAGTCAACTTACCTTCACTGAATTTGCAGATCAACCTACTAAATCGATTCACTTTTTTAAACATCTAAATCTATAAACTTCATCTAACCAATTAAAATTACAACAAAAACATATTGCCATTTTTCAACACATGTGAGAGGAATTAAGCCTTAGCCAAACACAATTACAGATGCATGCTCACCCACCTGACCTAACACATCTTCTATTAACATTAGCGCATTGTTTTATACTTATAGTAAACCAACATAAAGCCAAAAATCAAACTTCAATAGATATGAGAAAATTCAAACCTTGGCCAACAACATATTCAAACGCATACTCACCCATCTAACCTAACACATCTTCTATTCACAATTGCTCATTTATTAATACTTATAGTAAAACTCCATAAACCCAAATATCAAATTTACACACATATAAGAGGATTCGAACCCTAACAAACGACATATTAAAACACGAGTTCAACCAACTAAGCTAACACATCTCTTTTTACCAAATGTTCCTTTTTTTAATACTTATTACTCTGCTACTTATACTAAAATTATTTCAACAATACACTACGCAGCTGACAGTTGCGTTCCTGACATTGGCCGGAAAAATCCCCGAAAAATTACAAAACGCAATTACAATTTGCGTTTTACGTATTCAACTATAAACGCATGTGCGTATTCCGTTTTGTTGTTTTCGCAAGTTGCCGGAGAGCGCCGGTGTACAAAACCAGTAAATGCAACTCACTATTGCGTTTTACGTATAATACGTGAAATGCAAAATTAACTTGCGTTTTCAGCGATACCGTATCTCCTTCAAAAACGTGTTCCGGTAATGCGCTATACGTATACGAATACGTAAGCGCAACTCGTAGTTGCGTTTTACTCCCAACTGAGTTTTGCACATTCATGTAAAAAAAAAAAAAAAAACAAAAAAACAAAAAAGGCGACACATTTGTGGAAATAGCGGCCTTTGACCGCATATTTCAGTCTTTTATCCAAGCAGTGGATCATGGTGCACTATCAGTATAATACCATCGGCAAACAAGGTCCTAGTTTGCAACTAAGGGCAGTGCATAAAGCCGCATTACCTCCATCCAAGAACATTCAACACGAACTACAGAATCTCAATCGACCTGGCTGTACATCCAAAGAGGAATGGCAAAGTGTATGTGCATACATCCTGTATTTGCATGTATAGATATTGGTTCGATATAGGAGACAATTATTCATCAGTGTAAGTCACAGGTAATGATATCAATATTCTATGGCAGTTAGTCTACTTATAAAATACTATATATATTCTTAGGCTAAAAGGATTCTAGTAAGGATACCATTCGATCACAAAATTAAGAATACCCAATATTTAGACCTTCACCACAATAAATAAGGAATGCAAACTACTGGACCTCACACTGCTCTGCCAGGATCTACAAATGATAACTCTGCATTGGAGTCGAGGGTTATGCCACTGATGTCAAAGTGTAGACTCTAAATACCAATATACATATTCAGAAAATAAAGTCAAATAAGACCACTCTAGTGACTTGAGTATGTAACCACTGATGTCCAGCAATGAGTATGTAACCCTTGACAGGCACCAAAGGATAGTGAAAAAATGAACACACAAACTAAACACAATACTTAAATTGTATTTCATGCACAGGATGACAAGAATAAATCCACAACATTATGCATGACCAATATAGCTTATTTCCACGGAAAATTTAGCACGCACGGGATGAAGACAATCAATTCAGGATCGCCCTCATTGCTCTCTCCAAGTAACCCCATGACAACAAAATTGCATCTCAATAAATGAAGGTCGTATGTAACAAAAGCTCACAACAATTTTATTGTAAATTCCAATGATTAAACATAAATAGAAGGAAAAAGAAACTAAACAATTGCTAAGATCTCAGTGAATCCAATAGACATAAAACACAAGATGCACACTATACACACAAACACACACAAAAGAATAATCAAAACATAAAACACCAGCGGGCAAACTCGACGGTAGAGAAATTCATAGTTTGGAGAATAAGCAATTGTTACCAAACTAAGTGTTATCAATTTAAAGAAAAAATAGGGTATACATCACCTTCAGATTTGGGGATTTTCAAATCCCAAATCATATTAACACGCTCCAGATCGCACTTTACAGAGAGTTAGTCTCAAATTTCATCCTGGAAACGACGAAGTTGGTTATCGCGACTGCATCCGATCAACAGAGCGATTGAAAAAAAAAAAAAAAAAAAAAAAGGAGCTCCGATATCAATTACACACAAGATTAATGAGAGGGAACCGAATTACTTCCGTATATTATATTCATTTGAAATTGGAAATTGGAAATTGGTACCAGACAACAAAACATATCTTCCGTATATTATATTCATTGGAAATTGGAAATTGGTACCAGACAACAACACATATCTAATACGGAGTATCTAATATCTAATACTTCGACATTAGTGTAGAAGACTAATACATCCTCTTCATCTTCCTTTCATCATCAACTTCTATATACGCTACATTACAAAATATAGAATGTGTTTCCCTCGTACTTCGTCACCTCCTATATAAAATCTGATGAACCATGGAACTTATCACCTCCTACCTCATATCTCACCTCCTAATCTCCTAACAGAAGCGTGATCAATTTCACAGTGGCAACCACGAAGGAGGAGAACACAGCTATCCAATGCTCTGATCGTACCGCTCTGATACCAACATGTAGATAGAGAAGTCGTTGATCAATCTCAATAGTTCGACAGAAGGGTACTGAATCCTCTCAAGCCCTACCACACTTCTTCTCGCAACTGTAACCGCGTCCCTAACCAAGTGGCATATCAAGGGGCGGGCGTCGTCCGTCAGAGGGGCCTTAGCAAGCGCAACTGAAAGTCCAAACGCACCAGAGACGCAACTGAAAGTCCAAACGCACCAGAGACGCCAAGCACGGTTACAGAAGGGACTTCGCTGACCAAGCGGCTTATGGGGAGGGCGCCGTCAGGGGAAGATGATGGAAGGAAGAGGATGTACTTAAAAGTTTAACTTTATCTTATTTTTATAAATTTATACATCAAAAGTTAAATTTATAAAATAAGTATTGGTAATTATATTTTTTAGATTGAAAACAGAAATCGAAAATAAAAATAGAAAATGAAACATTGGGAAAGAAAACTAAACTAAGATTATTTTTTTTTAAAAAAAAAAAACTAAGATTTTTAAATTTTATTTTTAATTTATTTTTATTACATTTATAAAAATCTCATTAAATTAGAATATGTGAAATTTTAAAAATATATTATTTCATCTATAAAATTTCATTATTTAATGTTATATATATGTTGAGCCTATAATATATAACATTCTTTCTAAGATATATATATATATATATATATATATATATATATATATATATATATATATATATATATATATATATATATATATATATATATATATATATATATATATATATATATATATATATATATATATATATATTAGAACACCATAAATAAATACAAAAAATTTGATACCCAATTTGACAAGAAACAATATTATTCTTTTTGATAAACAAGTATTAAGAAAAAAAAAACATAATTTTTTTTTTAAAAAAAAAACTTAATTTTTTTTATTAAAAAAAAAAAAAAAAACACACACACACACACAATTTGGACGCGCTTTTTACAATTTGTGGCACAACAATTAACATATATAAGCACTGAAAATTCAAATTCAAATTCATTTCTATTATCATACAAAATTCACTTATTTCTAACTATCTAACATGGGAGAAGAAAATCGCTGGTTCGCTGCAATCGCTGTTGGAGCTCAAGTAGCAATGTTGAGCTTTTCTATCGGAGTTGGCGTGTCTTCTGTAGCTGCTATTTCTACTCTTGCATCTGCCGGTGCCCCAGCCCCAGACCTCGACGCCTCCCTGGTCAGATGGTTAAGAACCGTGTTATTCGGACTGTTAGGAACAGTGGTCGGCCTCTCTATAGTCCTTGGCAGTTATGCTGCATTGGGCATTTCTGCTTCACTTGCGGCTGCTACACCTCCTGACGGAACCCTTTAGGTATGCCGATTGGTCACCAAAGTCCCATATGCTGCACCAATTTGAAAACTTATTGCTCTGATTGTACCGCTCTGATACTAATGCTCTGATCGTACCGCTCTGATACCAACAGGTAGATGGAGAAGTCGTTGATCAATTTCAATAGTTCGACACAAAGGTACTAAACCCTCTCAAGCCCTACCACACTTCTTCTTGCAACTATAGCCGCGTCCCTAACCAAGCGGCGTATCAAGGTGCGGACGTCGTCCGTCAGAGAGGCCTCAGCAAGCGCAACTAAAAGTCCAAACGCACCAGAGACGCCAAACGCGGCTACAGAAGGGACTTCGCTGACCAAGCGGCTTATGGGGAGGGCGTCGTCAAGGGAAGATGATGGAAGGAAAAGGATGTACTTCAAACCTTCTACACTGATAATGTCGAAGTAATTTTAATACTTCTGTAGCAGTGCTGGGCGTTTCTAGTGCGCTTGGACTTTCAGCTGCGCTTGTTGTTGCCCCTCAAACGGACGTCGCCCGCCCCTTGGTTATAGATGCGGTTATAGTTGAGATGGTTCAGTACCTTTGTTCCAAACTATTGAGATTGATCAATGAGTTCTCCGTATACCTATTGGTATTAGAGCAGTACGATTGAACTGTTGGTATCAAAGCGATACGATCGGAACATTGGTATCAGAGCAGTACGATAAGAGCAATTAATGCCTCCTAAGTTGAAGAATAATACTCACAAAATCCCAGCTGGTGACCTTCATGTCCACAAATGACAATATGCAGCATCAAGAAGAGAATACACTCAAACCATCTAATTGTTACTCAAAAAAGAAAAGAATAGTTCTGTTGAATTAACCAAAATATGCACCATCTAATGGTGGGGGCGGTGATGGAGTTTCTGCCCAACTTTCTTTTTTTTTTATACGGTTGATACACTTCACGAGAAACAATTCTTGATTTGATCAATTGCGCCAAGCTTTGTGAGATTTTTCTTTCTCCATAGTAGTGCAGATGGGGACGAAGTTGAACCCCAATTCCCTCCTGTTGATAGTTGGATGCCATGGTTCTGAACTAGATTTCCTATAAAAAATGTTGATAATTGTAGTAGGGTAGTTTTCTTGATTTAGCAAAGGGGTTTTAATGCCAGTCTGTTAGTAAATTCGTTGGGAAAATTTTATTTAATTAAAAAAATAAAAAAAAAATGAAATGTTTGGCGGTTATATTCTACTTCGGTTGTCAAAAGCTAAGTAGCAATGGCAACAAATCTCAATTTCAAAATTAACCAAATTAAAGATTTGTTACCTTCCAGCCACTGCAAGTATACTCCAGAGCTGCCACTTAAACAAACAATATTTAGTCAAGCATACTCACAATTAACAAGCATAACTCCATTAAGCAATTCAAACTGCCATCTTCAGAATGCATCATTCAGTTCAAGCTTGTAATCAGAACCTTCAATTGCAAACCATCAACACAGATCGTTTCATGCCCCCATTCCAGCAACCATTCCACACTTTTTTTTTTTAATTAAAACAACAATAGCCCCCCACTAGAACAACTTTAGACCATTATTTCCTCATACTCAACCCAATCTAGTAGCCCACTCACAGAGTGCACCACCAAATAGCTTCGGGTCCTTCATCAACTTACAACCTAGAACAGAGCCAACCCCCAACCTTCTCATCACAGCTAAATTCCCCTCCACTTTGTCCTAAAACATTTTAGATGCCAAAAAGACATACTGACATTATCTTCCATATATACTCGCTTCTTCGCATCATAAACCAAGTGCATATAAGAGTTCACTCCCCTCATAGCCTCATTCCACCCAGCTGCAAACTCCTCATCAGAGTCCACTAGCCTTTGCAATTTCTCAATCACAGTCCCACGGGTCCAAGGCTTTGCCTTTTTACTGGATCCACTTGAGGTTGTCTCCTCATCTAGATTGCCTTCACTCATTTTATTAAGGAAAATTGCAGTTGCCTGTTGCGCCAAATCTTTCATTTTTACAAGACTCAAACCATCGAAAGCCGTTGGGAAAAAAGCTACAACCTCTTGCCTTGCTTCTTCTATAATTTTCACCCTAGCCTCATCTGGACCCAACTTTGCTTTCAAATTCTCAGCCCAAGTGTTGAAGCTTAAGGACAAGCTAGAGCTTAAGGCATTTGTGACACCCTGGAAATTCACTCCTTAAACCCGAATTAATTTCTTAATCAATTCCTATTTTACCTTACAATTCCTTCTTAATTCCCATTGAGTATAGTTAAGGGACCTAGTTTGACCAAATCCCTTAGCCTTTTTAATTTGGTCAAGGGGTAGACCATGTGCTTTATTCCTTGTACTCTAAACTTTAATTTTCTCCTAGCCTTTATGTGGAAAGAAGGGGCCCTTTTGGTCTTTTCACAAATTTCTAGCTTTAAACCCTACCCTAACCAAAACACTCCTACACATTTTAGCATTTCTTCATCTCTCTACACTCTAGCTTTCTCTCCAAGCCACTCTAAACCCTCTCATCCTAACCAAAGAAACCCTTCATCTTCTCTACCTAGAAGGCCATCAAACTTCCACCTTTCTTCATCTACAAGCTTAGGAAGGGTAAGTTCTAGGCTTCTTTGG